GAGTTATGGTGTTGGAGGAGCATATTGAAAGTTCCATGGGCTGGCAAAAGAACCAATAGATCTGTGTTATAAGTGAAGCCAGAGTGCCCCCTGGAGGCCAGGATGACCAAACTTTGTCTCTCACACTTCAGACATGTTGTTAGGAGAGACCAGTTGCTGGAGAAGGATATCATGTTTGGTAGGGTGAAGGGTCAGAGAAAAAGAGGAAGACACCCAGCAAGATGGAATGGTAAAGTTGCAGCATCAATGGGGTCAAGCGTGGCAACAATTGTGAGGTTGGCCCAGGACTGGGGACTGTTTCATTCTGTTGTGCATAGAGTCTCTATGAGTTGGTACCAACTCGATGACTCCTAATAACAACAATTGTTGGTAAAAATATTGACTGGCAGAAGAACAAACAAATCTGTGTGGGAAGAATTAAAGGCAGAATAATCCTTAGGATCATGAATTACGAGGCGCATCTTACATACTTTGCGCATGTTATTAAGAGCCACATGCTATTAAGAGACTGGAGAATGACGTTACCTTTGGTAAAGTGGAGGGTCATTGGAGACCTCATTGAAATGGATTGACACAATGGCAGTAACAATGGTTTCAGACACAACAATTGTGAGGAAGGCACAAAGCCAAGTAGTGTTTCATTCTGTTTTGCATAAAATCACAGGAGATGGAACCCCTAAAGGCACATAACAACAACACAACAACAAATATCAAACAAGTCCAGAGCATCTGTTTTCAGGGTCCTGATAGTGTCATTGTTTACTAAACTTTAATTAGTGGATAATTTTTCATTTACATATTCTAATAAGAAATTCTTTAATTTCCCACAGGGTATGATTGCTGCAGAGTTAAACTGTCTTTTCCATTGTAAAAGCAATAAATTAGTGTTGTTGTTGTATGCCATTGAGTCAGTTCTAACTCATAGTGACCTTGTATAGGGTTTCCAAGGTGTGGCTGGTGTATTTGAACTGCCAACGTTGTGCAGTCCAGTAGTGCACCACACCAGAAAATGAAACACAAAAGATAAAACCCTCTGAAACAATGTGTGAGGTGACTTACAATAATCTTCAAAAGAATCAAGAGTCATTTTAAAGAGAAATAGTAATATTTTCTTTCACTAAAATCTATAAAGTTTTATTTTTTTAGAATATACATATGTATGATTGTTTCCTACACACTTGGCATTATTGTTGTAAAGTGCCTTCGAGTCAACTCCTAATGACATGGTATAGGAGTGGCTGGTGAATTTGAACTTCTTACCTTGCAGTTCAAACTAACTTTGTGGTCCAGTACATTAACACACAGTGACTCACCAGGACTCATTTGGCATACATTATGATAATTTATTTGAGAATAATGCAATAATTCTTCATCACCTTTATGCATGTTTTTAAGATATGAACAAAGAAAACCAGTGTTTTATTGACTATGCAACAGCATTCAACTATGTGTATCATAAATTAAGGATAGCATTATGAAGAACGCAAATTTCCAAATACTTAATTGTGCACATTCATTTGGAAACTATACATAGACCAAGAAACAGTCAGTTGCTTGAAAAGAACAAGAGGATACTTAATGGGTTAAAATCAGGAAAATGTATGCATCAGAATTTTATCCTTTCACCATACAAATTTCATCTGTATGCTGAGCAGATAATCTAAGAAGCTGGGCTGTCTGAAAAGGAATTTGGGATCAGAACTGGAGGAAGGCAGTAATATGCAGATGACATAACCTCACTTAGAGAGAAAATGAAGAGAACTTAAAGCACTTGCTGATGAAGATCAAACAATATGGCTTTTAGCATGGCTTTGCAACTCAAAGCTAAAACAAAACAAAACAAAACAAAAAGGTTGTATTCTTTCACCTTACTTACTCAACCTGTATGCTGAGCAAATAATTCGAGGAGCTGGATTATATGAAGAAAAATGTGGCATCAGGATTGGAGGAAGACCAACAGATGGCATCATTACAAATGGAGAAAAGATTGAAGTTGTCAATGATTTCATTTTATTTCAATTCACAATCAAATCTTAGGGAAGCAGAAGACAGGAAGTCAAACAATGTATTACAATGCGCAAATCTGCTGCAAAAATCCTCTTTAAAGTGTGAAAGAGCAAAGATGTCAGCTTGAGTACTTAGGCATTCCTGACCCAAATCAAAGTATTTTTAATCACCTCATCTGCATGTGAAATGTGGAAAATGAATAAGGAAGTCTGGAATAAATCCATACCTTTGAATTATGTTTTGGGCAAAGAATATTGAAAATACCATGGACTGCCAGAGAAACAAACAAATTTGTTTTGGAAGGAGTACACCCAGAATCCTCCTTAGAAGCAACATAGGCAAGAATATGTCTCATGTACTTTGGACCTGCTTTCAGGAGGGATCCTCCCTGGGAAAAGAGATCACGCTGGGTAAAACAGAGAGCATAGTGAAAAAGAGGAAGATAGACGGATACAGTGGCTGAACAATGAGCTCAAACATAATAACAATTGTGAGAATGAGAATGGTATGGGACCAGCAATGTTTTGTTCTATTGCGCAGAGTCACCATTGAGTTGGAACTGACTCCACAGTGCCTGACAACAATATATATATATGTATTTCAACTATAACTGTCAATATTTTCTTGTAGCCCAAACAATGCAATATCTATGATTCTAATGTAGTTTCTCTACTTCATTCATTCATCAATTCCCTAGAATTCAGCTATTTTTTCCTTTCTGTTATGATTTAGCTAATCCAATCTCAGTGCTTCAAAATAAAACTGTTATACTTGTAACTCATCATTTTGCTTTAATTCTCCTCTATCTTTAATTCCCACATACATTGGTGAGTAAGTTTAGACACTAGGGAAAGCTTGAGTAAAATTGATAAGCCCTTTTAACCAAAGTTAAATTAGGATGGCTAAATGATAAAATTTAAAAAATGGAATCTATGAATATTGAGAAGGCATGCTTATGAATAGGAATTTGGTAATTATACATACTTGGGATAGAACTTCATGAGCTATAATTTCAGAGAATAGTAAAGACTCAGAATTTTAGGAAAATTCTAAGTAAATACATAAAGGGAGAAAAAATAGATTAGGAACCACTAATTGAAAAAGGAGTAGGGGGAGAGGTTCACCTACAGTCCATAAATAAAATGTGTTACAATTGAAAGTTTCCTTCGTTAGCTATTTACACAATATACCTTGAATTTTGTTTTAAAAGATTTCTACCGCCTGTCTGTCACTGAATCTGCCCCCATTGGGACTTCTATAGGAACAATCCTGGCCTATGATAATGACATAGGAAAGAATGCAGAAATGGATTACAGCTTAGAAGATAATTCACAGACATTTGAAGTCATCACTAACAATGATACCCAAGAAGGAATAATTTTACTAAAAAAGGTACATGTATTTAAGTCATTTCTTTATACAATAGTGCAAAATCAAATAAGAAATTCCAAAAAAAATTATGTTGTATATACTGTCAGTCTGCTTTATTAAATACCTAAAAAGAGAACCTTGTGATTTATGGCTTAGTGGGAAAAAATATATATACCTAGAGAGATTAGAATAGTATCTACTACAGAGTTTCCTAATGATTTTCAGAACAGCTTATTTATGTAACTTTCAAAAAAGGGACAAGATTTATGGGTAGATCTGGAATACAAGAGAATTAATTTACAATCCCATATTTATGCTTTGAGAAGTATCATGATAATACTAAATTGAAAATATAGTTATCATTCCAAAAACCGTTTATAACAGATGTAAATAACAAAATATAAACAATGACTTGTATGGGATTGCTTTATGATAGTACAAGAGCAATCCATGTATTTTAAAGAGTAAAACCTAACTGAAAAGCAACTGAGACTTAACTCAATAGTTCACTTTTTTATTTCCCCCTGTAAGTGATGTTATTGGAGTTATTGAAGATTACGAATCTTACGAATACATTATATATCCTTGTAGGAAGTGGATTTTGAGCACCAGAATCACTATAGTATTAGAGCCAACGTTAGAAACCGCCATGTTGCTGAACATCTCTTGAAGTATCACACTGAAGCCTCCACCGCTTTCATTAAGGTCCAGGTGGAAGATGCTGACGAACCTCCTGTTTTCCTCTTCCCATATTATGAATTTGCTATTCCTGAAGGAAATCCACATGGATCCTTTGTAGGCCTGGTATCTGCCATAGATCCAGATCACAGGAATTCTCCCATCAGGTATGTATTCTGGAATGTCAGCGAGCTAGGTCTGCATAACACTTGAGTAAAAATAGATCAGCACAAAAATAAAACGCTGTGAAAATTTAAACACCCGTATTTATTAAACCAGAACGTTGGCGGTTCAAGCCCACAAGGCTCTCCTTGGAAACCCTATACAGGGTTGCTATGAGTGAGAACTGACTTGATAGCAGTGAACAACAAAACAACGTATTATTCTATAGACTTCCGGTGTGGTGCTATAGGAGAAGTACTGGATTTATAGGTTTAAGTCCACCAGCTGCTCCTTGGAAACTTTATATAGGGGTAACTATGAGTCAAAATCAACTCGATGGCCACTTGAAAACCAAAATAACACATTACTCCATACATACCGCTTTCTACTCCGAACCCTAGATGTAGCAAAAGAAGAAGCGATGAGCAAACTCTCCAATCAAATGTACTGAGAAACTTGAAGAAATGACTTATTCTAGAGCTGTTTTAGGGGGAAACGTGAAATGATCCTGGAATATCTCTTAGTTCTAAAAGTAAGGGAGACACTTAAATAAGAATTGAAAGTATTTTTAAAAGGGCCCAGGAACTGCACTGGAACGATTTCCAGTACCCTACACTGGAGTTATTCCACACACATATATAATGATAATTTTCGATTATAATGTATACACACACACGCACACACACAAAAAAAATCCTTGAGTTATTATCTATCCTTGGTATAGATAAATGAAAGGGACAAATTGTCTTACAGAAGAATTATGATTCATAGAAGAATGGGAGCAGTAATAATTTTTTTAAAAAAATCTTTAGAACAGCAAAGTGACAATTACTGTCCATGGATGGATACAAAAATTAGTGAGAAATATGTTTAAGTAAAAACAGATATTTAGATAATTTCAAAGTATCACTCTTGAGATCTTTATTAATTACAAAACCAGGAAATCATGACTTCAAAGTGGAGTAAACTGGCAAGCACTGAATGAGTAAGTGACCCAAGTTACTATCACTGATAATGAGATGGATCAGTATCACATACACCACCTGCTATTGCCTCTGGTAGTGTAGTGGTTACGAATCAGGCTGCTAACCTCAAGGTCAGCAGTTCAAAACTATCAGCTGTTCTGCAGGAGAAAGATGAGGCTTTCTGGTCCCGTAAAGATTTGCAGCCTTGGAAACCCTGTGCAGAGTCGCTATGAGTTGAAACCGTCTCCATGGTACTTAACAACAACAACATTGCCTCTGGAAGGGCACAGCACTCCTGTGGTATTCTTGCCCAAAATACATAACCTTACTCTAATCATCCGAAAACCTCGGATAAAGCCAAACTGAGGGATGTTCTCCAAAACAGCTATGAAAAACTCAACAAAAGTATCTAGGTCATAAGACACCAGGAGCCTGAGAACTGCGTAAAGACTAACCGAGACATGAAATCTCCATCTCATGTGGAATCCTAGCCTATCTCGGATACTGTGTTTGTTACTGTTGTTATGTACTGTCAAGTCTGTTTCAATTGATAGCAACCTGTATAAGGATTGAATAACTAATCTGTCAATAATATTGTGCATTTTAGAAAAGAAAAATGACATTATTGATAAAATGGGTGAAAATCAACAACTGTTTTAGTTTTGTTAGTACAGACTAGTATTATGTCAATTAATATCTTATTTAATACAATCATAATACTCTGATTTGATAAATGTTACCCTTAGGGGAAGATGAGTGAAGGATTCTGGGAAGCCTCAGTACTGGGTCTGCATTACCACTGTTACCCCGTAACTATTTCAAAATCCTTTTTAACGGGGAAAGAGATCGTGAAGTATGGTCAAGGTGATGGTGGGTTATATTAAAACCACATGGTTATTTTCTGATTAATCTCAACATTGTGAAATCTCTTTAAAAAAAAAAATAAGTGAAAAGGAAATGAATATGAACTAATTGTAACAAGTCAAGATCAAAGAGATTTTATCTAATGAGAATGTATTTGTAGTTGTTGTTTAGTGCCTTTGAGTCGCTGACTCATAGTGACCCTTATAAACTTGCCAAGGCTTTAATTCTTTGTGGAAGCAGAAATCCTCATCTTTTTCCAGTGGAGCTCGAACTGCTGATCTTGTAGTTCACAGTTCCATGCTTATCCTATAAAGCCACTGCACTATTTTATAATGAACATGTTGTTGTTAAGTGCCTTCTAGTCAGTTCTGACTCACAGTAATCCTATATAGGATTTCCAAGGAGCGGCTGAAGGGTTTGAACTACCAACATAGTGGACAGAAGTCTTAAGAAAATTGTATTTTAGATGAGCCAAATTGGAGTTCCTAGAAGGGGTCAAGGAAAGTGACATATATTAAGTTGTCGATCTTATCCATTCTTCCTAAATATTTACAGTTGTTTGTTTTGTTTTCATTGTGCCTTTACCTAACTATTGTGGCATCCATTGTTCTTTATTTTTAATTATAGTTGTTTTTAAGTGCTTCCGAGTTGGTTCCAACTCATAGTGACCCTGCATAGGTTTTCCGAAGAGTGGCTGTGGATTTAAACTACCAATCTTGTAGTTAGCAGTCCAGAGCTTATCCTACAGTGCCACATCAGGACTCTAATTTTGGATAGTTACCTAATAAATTACAACAAAACAAAATATGATTTTTCTGTTGCACTCTTGATTGGTTGTATTTTAATTATGTATTTATAGAAAGATGATATTCTAGAAAGCCTTTAATATTAACTGGTGTACTACTGTTCCATTTGGTCAAGAATTCTTATAAGTAGGAAATACAACCACTCGTAGATTTGTAAGAAAATTTCTAGAAAATGTTTCAAAATGAGTAGAATTAAATTGCACTCTTCTAAAACGGAATTCTCTGATTCCTCTTTCAATTCTTTCCTGAGCACTAAGCTATAAATTACTGAGATATTTTTAGAAACCTGTCAACTGGAGATTAAAATATTCTCATTTTTTGCCACTTAATTATGGTAACCCTCCTTGATGTCTCATCAAAGTATTTCAGAAATATACTTGCAATGAGAAGCCATCACTGAACTTGTATCATTACTCTGCTTTAATTTTTATTATTAATCATTTGAAAGCAGATGTGATGTGCTGAGAACTTCAAAGGCTACTTTCATTGTAGAGTTGGGGATCATTTTCAGGCAATTGTAGGAGGAAATTTGTAAGGTGACTTCTTTTCACACATAATCTTACAGGACTTTACATTTACTATCCTTTACTTCGGGAATAAAGAAATTAACAGGTTACTGACCCCTCATTTGGCTGGTGGGGAAGTAGGAGGTAAGCAGATTTATATAAACTTGTATTTTTTAGTATTCTTCTGATAGCATAAAAGGCTCATTCATTATGAAAGAAGTTTGTTTTGTTTTTTTAAAATTAAATACTATCAGATTGCTCCTTTTAAACAGACAAAAGAAACCCTTTCTTAGATATCAGGAATCAAATCATTGTCAAATCATCACAGATGTGTCAAGAAACTAGCATAGGAAAGAGATCACAGATGGGCTACAGATGGGTTTTAGTATGCTACAAAGGGAACAAAACAGGCTCAAAAGTGTTAACTTTTATCCTTATTTGAACTTAGCTTCATTTTGCTAATGGTATTTTACTAGTTCTTTCTAGCCCAGGTAGTTCCCTATTAAAATTCTCTTTTAGCAATGAGAATGAGTGGCATGTGGTTAGATTTAGCAAACATTAATGAAAACCTGGAGATTTTTAGATTTTTATTTATTAATTTTTTTATCTCAGCTGAGTTAAATATTAAATGTTATGAATGAACCTTTGGTAT